CATAATAAACTACTGAAAGAATATAAGGTTCAAAACTAAAAAAACTAGAAAGTTTTTTTTTTTTTTGCTTTGAAAAGTGCTTTATTTATTATTATTTAATTAATTCATGCCAAGTGACTCTACTCATATCAGGAAAGTTAAAGTTAAAAGCTGCTCCTAAGAAAACCCTATCCAAGTTCATTGAACTTAGATATATTGGGTTTATTTTCCCATCTGTAAATGGGGATAATAGCTGATTCTCCTAAATTTACAAAAAATTACTGGAATAAGTAAAATATTATTTATCATTGTGTCTGATCTTCTGATGAAAGTGCCGAATTAAATATTTTTCATTTGATTTACTGGGAATCTTTTAAAGTTAATGACAAATACAGTCCCATTATAACTGTTCACTGGCTTAATATAAAGGCATTTATTGAATAGTTACTATGCGTTAGACTCTAAGGAAGGGAAAGTATATAGAATAGTCCCTTCTCAGTAGGAACTGTGCATCTAGATGTCTTAGGTGTTTGCAATCAAATTTTCAAAATTCCTTCTCTTTTAAAAATAAAACAGCCCTGGCCGGTGGATCAGTTGGTTGTATTATTGTGTACACCAAAAGGTTCCACATTCGATTCCCAGGCAGGACACATACCTAGGTTGTGGGTTCGATTCTTGTTCGGGGTTTTATGGGAGACAACTGATCAATGTTTCTCTTTCACATGATGTCTCTCTCTCTCTCTCTCTCTCTCACTCTCTCTCTCTCTTTCTTTCTCTTTTTCCCTTCCTCTCTATATAAATCAATAAACATATCCTTGGGTGAGGATAAAAATAATAATAATAAAATAAAATGAATTTTAAAAACAATGTTTAAGCCTTTCAACTGTGTAAATTTTATGATAAAGGTAACAAATTAAGCCATTGTTTTCATTGATAGGATATTCTGATTTGGCCCTAGTCATTTTGTTTATGAATGTTATAAAATGTGAAGACAAAGGGCTTTTAACTTATCTTAGTAAAGTGGCTGTTACATAATGAGTGCTTAGTGTCTGCTGTATATGCGAGCGTGTTTACTTCATAAGAAAAACCCCATGCCTAGCAGCTTGTGAATATCTTGTACATATTTTAGTATTGAATGGTGATATTTTTCTTTGTTTTTATTTCTAACAGTGGTGAATTCTGACATTTCATGTCATTATAATAATTACCCAATGCATGTCTTTGCCTATAGAGTTCACACTCATCATTTAGGTAAGAACATTAAACTACCTGTTAAATTACAAATATTTACCATTGTGCTTGCTAATGCTAAAAATATAAAATGCAAATTGACATTAAATCTGTTTCAGTGAAAGCGATTTTGCTCAATATTTTGAAATTCTGTATGATTTTTCTTCATTTTGTTTTCATTAAAACACCTTGCATTTGAGGTTCTGAAAATATCTAGATTTTATTTTGAGTTAAGAAAGCAAATGATGATTTTATTTTTCTAATACCTTATTGTATTATATAATTATAATTTGTGTTCATTTCAGGTAAGGTAGTAAGTGGATACAGAGTAAGAAATGGACAGTGGGCACTGGTTGGACGCCAGAGCCCCCAACTGCCACAGGTGTGTAGAATCTAGTTTAATTTAAAAAAAATAGTAAGCAGCAGATTGCCATTTTAAAAGCTCTCAGAGGACCCTTGTGAATTTCTCTAGACGCTAAACATCTCTAAATCTACCTTTACTGTGTATAACTTAGTTTTATACAACTTTGAACTTGGTGATGGTTTTCTTATCAGTTCTCTTAATATTTCTAAGCATGGTGGTGCTGGTGGTAGGGTGGAGGGATGGGGGAGGGGTGGAGGTGTATCTCTTCATACTTTCTACCCAGGGTGCTCCAGGTCTCATGTTATTAAAGCAAGTGTTTCTGGACTGTATTGGTAATTTTAATGAATCATCATGTTTGATTCTTGGCAGGCTTTCTACCCTGTGGAGCACCCAGTAGATGTTAGTTTCGGTGACATATTAGCAGCAAGATGTGTATTCACTGGTGAAGGAAGGACAGAAGCCACACACATTGGGTATGATTCTGCATATTTCACTGTTTAAAAAAGCTTTTATTGGGACAAGGCATGATTACAGGTGACAGTTATCTTTGTGAATGAATTGCGTTATTTTTTATCATGAACAACTACAACAAACTAGCATTGTATCATTCTAGAACTGATTGATTTGGACAAACTCTAAAACATGGTTGGTCTTTTTATGCTTCATTTCTTCCTGCTTATTCAAGACCTCCAGTATCATGCCCCTGTATTATTATGGTTACCACAAGAGTTTATATTACTCATCTTAAAGAAAAATATAATGATTATGAACTTTTGCTTCCTCAAGTGTCATTTTGCCCTGTGTTCAAACTTAGGCAAATATATGGTTTCTGCACTTGGTTAGTGCATACCAATTACTCACAACTATGATTTTTTTCTTCCTGTTAAAACTTCCATATATTTGATGTTTCCAGTTTATTATGCCAAATGAGAGTAATAATATTCAGCACTTTGCAAAAGAGAATGTCAGACTTCAAATAATTTTCAAAGTATTGAGCCTCCTTGAAATAAGTATCCTACCTAATAAGGAGGGAATATGCTAATTGACTGCCATGCCCTCAAAGATGGTGGCGCCCAGTCCTCTCAGCCCTGCTAGGGCGGCGGGTGCATGGCAAGGCCAGGCCTACCCCCAGGCGGGCCCGGCCGCTCTGTGTGCCTGCTTCCGGAGACCCCCAGTCCCCCCAGCCTCCCAGGGCCGGCCCAAGGCGCAGGCAAGCCTTGGATGGCAGCCGCCCGAGGCTCAGGTAACCAGGGCCAGCCGGGGCCTGCGCTGCCAGCAGTGTCACCAGCAGAGGTATGATGGGGCATCGCCTTCCCCTGATCACCGGGTCACCTCCTGCCCCTGAGGGCTTCCGGACTGTGAGAGGGGGCAGGCCAGGCTGAGGGACCCCCCTCCAATGCATGAATTTTCATGCACCAGGCCTCTAGTATTTTATAACACTAAGTAAAATTTTAAGGCACTGTGAACTCTTTCAAAAAATTTGCCAAAATTAAAAATAAAGGTTAAAGGCCCTTATCATATTTTTTGGGTTTTTTTTTTAAAAAAAAAAACAACAAGGTGCCTCCCTTCCATGTTAAACTAAGTTATAAAATATTTATTGATGCCACCTGGAAGCAGGAATTAAAGCATTTATCTTTGGATCAGTGAGAACGTAGAGAAAGTCGACATCTGAAAACAAGCATGAGATGCACTGGCGATGATTCTCTTGACAGTACTATGTGTTGGTGGTCAGGGGAAAAGAAAAGAGTACTGATACACGTAAAAGAAAAAGACACCTGAGATGATGGAGTAGGATTTTTTTTTTAGTTACTCTAAAGAAGTTTTTATATCAATAAACACCAATTTTAGGGCTAAAAATAAATTTTATAAATTTAATTTATATATTAAACAAGGAGCTTCCAACACCTTTACTTTTGCATAAATTTGATGAATTTGGGAAAGGAACTTGAGGAAAGCAATAAAACGATTGAATTACATGAAATGGCCATGGTAAAAAAAGGGTTGACAAAGTAGACATAATTAGATGTAAGGAGTCTGACAATTCACTTCTTAACAATCTTCAAATATGTGAAGTAAATATGATTCAGAGGATATTGATCAGTTGTTCTCTGATTTATGTTAATATAGAGCCCCAGGAACTTTACTTAAATGCCATTGGTTATTTTATCAACCTTTGTAATAGGTACGACAAGTAGTTAAAATAACCCATTCAACACATTCTGTGTGTTAGTCTGCAAGTTTAAGTGTGGAATTAGTAGAATGTTTTGCGGGTGGGGTGGGGATCTTGTAGTTTTGGTCAGATTCTATCCTTTGCTTATCCTCGGCAAGGCAATATTAACCACAGAAATTAATGCCTTGTGATAGTACCACGATGAGAGGACAAAGTGATCTCTGGAGGCCTCTCACCGTTTCGTGAGTTAAGAATAATTCTGCCCTTTTTATAATGTGCATTTTGCTTTACAATAATACCCTAAAATGACTGTACTAATCTATCTTTTTGTAAATATCATGTGGGCCAAAGGAAATGCCATTTTGTAAGATAAATGGAACAAAGAAATTATAGGAAATTAACTTATTGAGCAAATCCATAATCTGAATATTTAATTTATATTAGAGAAGCAATTTTCTTCCAATGGAATGACAAACTAGTAAGACAAGTTTGAATAAATATACATATGAATAAAATTCTCATCATAATGCTTAACGTTCCTATAGCACTTAGTATGCTTTTTAGTGTTAGAAAGGTAATAGCAGCAGTGCCTGTTATATAAAAGTAATGGATACCACTTCCATAGGCTACTATACAGTCACCGTGAGAATGTAACCAGTAAAAAAAGGAAAACTAGTATTTTATGATGGCTAGTAAATTAAATGATACTCTGTAATTCTCCTCTCCCTCTTTTCCTTTCCCATCTACCCCCAACCCATGTGTTAGGGTCCCGAACATAAAGCCAACCTAGTACAAATACCACGTATCCAAAGGTAGACTGGGCTCCGTAGTTACTCCCTCCATGCACTGGGCGAAGTATCACCTTCAGGTGTTACCCTTATGCTGCAGCCATCTGGAAACTAGGTTTTAAAGGAAAATTGTATCATCAGTGGCCTACTAGGAAGATTTTTAGTTGAATGATTCTTCCACCCAATCCAAGCTATCCTCAACTGGAAATTTTAGGACTGGGGAAATGTTGCTTAGTTAGAACAATCATAGTTAACTAAAAACAAACAAACAAAAAACAACACTTTAAAAAATAAGGCCTGATTTTCCCATTCCTGGGATTTATCTCAAAATAAAACCATTTAAAAATAGGTGGGTTTAAGACAACACAGATCAATAAATATACTTAATGGTAACATTTTTAATCCAGATATATTATATTTCTTTTAAAGTAGTAAATATGAAAAGTATCTCTTAGACAAAATTGTCCCAATGTATAAACTGACAACATAGTATTAATTAACCTATGAAAAAACAATATTCTATACCTGAGTGCATTACATATTTTATATTTAACCTAACACCTAAATTTATTTTGAATGTTTAGTCAAGTTTAAGCAAGAAAAAAAAAGAATTTGTCAGCCAATTAAGCTAACTAAGTGAGCTAATTTGCCCAACTGTTTATATGCTAAAATTTAAAATTAGTTCTTGAGAATTGGTCAGTTTTGTTAGTCATATTATTCATGTGGAACCAATTATTTCATGTACATATAAGAATGTCTAGTGAATATGCACAGATACCAAGCACAACACTTTAGTCATTTAAAAATGCACTATATGCAAAGATAGAGTTATATGATCAATAACTCCTTAATGTGTAAGTTTAAAGCCATCATGAAACATCTTAGGAAACAATTAAAATTTTTGTAAAATAGCTTCTTTAAAATGTTCCAATTTCTTTTCAAAATTAGTAGTACCCATCGTTGGTTATTTTTAAGCCTCACATCTGTTGAGTATAAGGGACAGGGGCTAGGAATGGGTGAATCATCAAAGAGAAATATCACTGTCTGAGACATAGTCAAGGTGTATGTACAATAATATCTGGGAGTTTTTAAATGGTGCATTTCAGAATACTAGGTACTTTCTTAAATATCTGTTATATATCATTATAATGTGAAATAATTACTTTTTATAGAAACTCTCATAGAACCTGGATGGATGGATCAGTCAGTTAGATACTAGATAGATGATAGATAGATAGATAGATAGATAGATAGATAGATAGATAGATGATAGATAGATAGATAGATAGATAGATTTTTCAAAAATGCCATAGACCAATTGAGTTTGCAAAATTGACCTGACATGGCAATATGGTATACTATATCAGAGCTAACAGTTTATGCTATAGTAATTTGTAAACATTTATTAAGATAGATTGTTCATTCTTTCTTCATTTAACAAATATATACTGAAGGCTTACTATTTCCAGGCTCGTCACCCTTTGTCAGATTTAAAGCTAGCTGGCATAAAGAAGTAGTCATCCCCAAAGCACTCTATTATGCAAGAAGGTGGAAGGAATGCACACTGTAACTTTGGAATCTAGGTGCTGCCCGCAATCATTTAGAGAATCACTCTAGCGCTGGGGAATGTTTAAAAGGCCATTCAGTGGAGTCAGGGCAGATGTGTGAACACCATCTCTCCATATTTCCTCATGTTAATAGATACTCAGATTCACAGAGTTGAATTACAGAATTGTTCTCTATGGAAAGTAAGGGCTGGAGTGTCAAATTCTCCCTTAGGAATACTGAAAGCAATTTCTCTGGCTAAAGTCAGTTTTGGGGGTTGCTGTCTTTTTTTGAGTGAAAGAAGAATGAATGTGAAATAAAATAGGCAAACTCTAGCATTAAAAATTATTGGAATCCACACATGTTTGGGATATAACAGTTTCAGGTAAGAGCTCAGTGTTAGCTTGACTAAAAGTTTAATTACAGATAGAAAGGAATAAAATAATACTTTCTTTTCAGTTCTTTAATGAAATTTTCTTTGTAATAGCAAAGATTCTTAAATTCCTTGATCAACTCAATTTTGAATCAGAATCATTATGTTAAATGAACTACTTTGGTGAGTAGATCAGGCTGTATCACTAAGTCACATGTTTAGAGTGAATATGGGCCTAGTGTTCCCAAGCAGAAAAAATATGGATGGATCTGTCCATAGATCAACTGCAGTTTATTTATTATTATATAGTGATTAATTTTTTCTTTCATTAATTAGAGAAGCTTATATGATTATTTTGCTTTGTTTGTCTGCTAGATGATTCCAGGTTTTCTAAGCAGGAACCACAATTTAAAATGCTTTTTCGTCATTTCTCTCTTTTGATCTGCACATTTTTCCTCATTTTGAACAGGGGAGGGAGGGCACTATGGTGGGAGGCTCCGATTTATTACTTTAGCACCAGCTATTCCTTGTACAGCACATAATTTTCTAACCCCCTCCAAGGCTGTTAAAATGTAACTCTTAGGAATGGTGTTTTGACACCTAAAGATATGTGTGGGGAACAGGTGTTTGTTTGGGGTTGCACTTCAACATTGGCTTACATTCCACAGGAGGGACAAGTACATTTACAGGTATCAGATTCAGAGAGTGAAAAGCCAAATTATTTTTAAAGCATCAACGGAGCTTCCCAAGGGCAGGGGCGCATGCCTGTGGCCTTTCAGGGGCTCTCAATTTTCAGAGCTGAGAGAAACCACATCCCTGTTAGGAACAGATTTTTCTTTTTTTCTTCCCCTTGCTGATGTCATTACTGTTGCTATGGAGAGGAAGTGAGTGCTGCATGACATGGGTGGAAAAACCAACAGTGACGCATTTCTGCCCGGCAAACAGTCCACCGTGTAGCTCGTTTATTAGCATAGGCTTGCTAAAGTGTCCGAGTTCATGGGCTATTCCTGTGCCCAGCCTACCTTGGTGTATACGAGTTTTGCGGTCGTGTAAATAATTCTTTCCTAATAGCGAAGAGAAAGAAATACATAGTAACCCATGTGAGCCAAGGAATAAAAAACACATGTTTTCTAAACCACTAGGCATTATTTATATTCCTGGGAGCTTCTTCTTGGAAATGTCCATCTCCCTGTGGCAACATCTGTTTTTAACAGTGAATCACTCAGTTGCACAGCAGATCCCGTTCAGGTCTGAGCCCTTAGAAGAGATGAGGGCTGATCTCCTTTTCTATCATCCAAGGCCCCATTTTTCTCTGCTGTCGACGCCAGGGTGCCACGTCAGATATCAGGGACACAATTATGATGTCTTAGTATCAATATGTGATTCGTGATTCACCTGACCACAAGAGAGGAGGCAGTAAGCAAAAACAACTTCCCGGACTCTCAGGGTTAAATGGAAAAAGTCATTTTTAAAGAATTGTAAATAATACATGACATTTCTTTCTTAAGTGTTCTGAATTTTACTGTTACGTAGTAAATAAGATTTTTTCCATGAGCGAAGTACTTTGCCCAATCCGAATTTTTAGCAAATGGAAGAAAGACTAAAGAATAAAAGGCTTTAGAAGAGGCAAGACAGTTATCTCACTGCTACTTCAATGCTATTTCCATCTGCGGTATTGGGTGATATCCATGGAGTGACTGCAAATGGATACTCCATTGTTAAGTGGAACTCTGCCTTTGACAATGTGCTTTTGGTGCTGAAAACTGTGATGGGGTGTAATGAAAGCCATAAAATAAATGCACAATATTTTCACTTTTTAATCCATTTCTGGCAGATTTACTGGTTGCATTTTTCTTGCATTAGAATGTGTTTTATGTGACTGGCTGATTTGTTGTGTCTGTTTTTCCTGCCTGCAGTGGCACATCTAATGATGAAATGTGCAACTTATACATTATGTATTACATGGAAGCCAAGCATGCAGTTTCCTTCATGACCTGTACACAGAATGTAGCTCCGGATATGTTCAGAAACATACCACCAGAGGCCAATATTCCAATTCCTGTGAAGTCTGATATGGTTATGATGCATGGACATCACAAAGGTAAGATCGGTGTCATTTAAAGTAACATATGGTTTTGTATTTTCTGTTGCCTTATGTGTTTCATTTGACTAGATGATTAATTTTTAAAAATCATTTTTCTCTGCCAGACAATCACATGTGCTCCCATAATCTGACTCCCTCTTTTCCTTCTTCTACATTCTTCCTTCCCTCCTGACATGCCCCCATCCAAACAGTTAAAGTAGAAAATCTCAACTAGTGCTACAAGATATTAGTTTGGGGATTGATTCCATTAATTTAGATTTTTCTTTACTTAAATTGTACTTTCTAGCTTCCCCACTTCATTCCACCCAGAGCCAGTAATGACTTATGCAATTTATGAATTTATATACCATGTTCTACAGAGTGCTAGAGTTTGCCAATGAAAATGGTTATCGTTTCCAGTCATACCCTCAATCATCTGTTTAATGGCCTTGTCAAGCACAGAACAATTCTTGATTTATGAAGCATTACTAGTCTTGGCCTTTTTGGTCTCATTCTCAGAATTGTTGCAAAACAGTCATATTGATGGTTATTTCTTAGATTAAAATTTCCAAACCCACACCCTGTTTCATTAAATGCAATATGCTGAGACTTTACTGAGTTTTGCAGGTTTGTTCTTAAAATACCAGAGAAACTTATAATTTCTGGTGGAAATTTATGAAAGAAGTTAACATAGCAATCAGGTCATTTATTAAGATCCTTGATATATTTAAAGAATGTGCCTTAAAATCTTAAAATATTATAAAATTCAATTAAAAAAAGAAATATGGGAAGTTTTATTATTGCATGTATAAAATTCTGTATCATGTATATGTTACTGAAAGGGTAGTAGATCTAGTTATTAAGTTATTGGTGGTTACCCTTGGTTTTCTGTGTGAATTAGAGCACTTCAACATGTAAATTCATAATACTTTTGCTTTAATGAAACACAAGACCCTGAATAATATTTTTATGTTGGTGGCATATTTCCAATAAACTACTTAGAGCATATAATATATACTACAAATTTATGTTCAGCTTCTTTGTTCCTTTACAGAAACAGAGAACAAAGATAAGACTTCTTCACTTCAGCAGCCAAAACAAGAAGAAGTGTTAGAACAGGGTATGTATGCTTATTTCTGTAGCTAGGCCTATAAAAATGTTCATTATCCAAATAGGCAACCACATTTTAAAGTTATTGAAATATTTTATGTCTTTATCAGCCTCCAGTATTATATATTGGTTTTCATGTAATGCATAATTTATGAGAAAATGGTCAATTGTTGCACTTACTGATTGCACTGAAAATAAAATTCACTAGTGTAATTTAGTCCCTTTAGATTTTTCTCTTTGTTTTCATTTATGTAATATCGTAACTTTAATATATAGTGCAAATATAATCATTAGAAACAATTAGAGGTCTGCTTTTGAAATCTAATAACTTTTACCATTTAAATTCCTATGTACTTAGTATGGTGTGTTCATTAACTATATTTGAGGTTCAAGAAAAAAGAAATTAAGAATTAAACCCACCTCTTAACTCTCTAAAGTCATTCTTCTCTGCCTTCAGTAAGGTAGGAGGGATTCTTGTTTTATGCATTTGTAGTTTTGTGTTAAGTTGCCCTCTGATGAGTTAAGGCATCATTTTTCCTGGGTTCTGTTTATTTGAAGTGGAATACTTGATGCTTGTATGTCAAATACTGCATACTAGTATGCTGGCACTGAGAAATTGCCCTCCGGAATCTTGGTTTATTGCCAGTTGTTTGGAAGTTAGTACTTTGTGTTAGGTGTTGAAGAATGTTATCAAGTTGTTTGAGGCCTAGATATTATGTATTTTAAAACATTACTTTAATGTTAATACAAACAGTTCCAATGGCAACATAAAGTGTACAGCAAATAGATAGGATTTTTCTATTATCAACATTTAGAAATCTCTGACTCTTTGGATTTCGAAACCACTATTGGAATTTCTCAAAATGTATTCTATTAAATAAAAACTATCACTCTTGCACTAGTAGTATTTGCAAAATTAAAGAATCCAGACTTTTCAAATAAAAAAAAATGCACTTTGAAAGGGGTATAGAGTAAATTATAAATATAAAAGTTTTTAAATTATGTGGAATATATTCAGTAACATCTCATTCTAACAAGTGGCCTTAAAAATACAACTTAGCTCTATTTCCAAATCTTAACTATCTCAAAATTGTTTCTATTTTTATGTTGAATCAAAAAAGAGATGATTTTATAGTAGTTGATACTAAACTAGAGGCCCGGTGAACAAAATTGGTGCACTGAGGTGGGGAGGACTCCTCAGCCTGGCCTGCACCCTCTCACAGTCCGGGAGCCCTCGGGGGATGTCCAACTGATGGCTTAGGCCCGCTCCCTGGCTTCTGCCCGAGTGGTGCTCCCCCTGTGGGAGCACACTGACCACCAGGGGGCAGCTCCTGTGTTGAGCATCTGCCCTCTGGTGGTCAGTACGCCTCATAACAACCAGTTGTTCCACCATTCAGTTGATTTGCATATTAGCCTTTTATTATATAGGCTTATACTAAACTATTGAGTATAATTTTAAATAGCTAAATTTATCAACTCTGTATATATTTGTAAGGAAATCAGTAATTGCAGCCCAAGTAAAGTAGAATTAACAGTATTAACTATATTTGTACTGAAGTTTAATCAGACTTAAAAGAAATTATTTTGGCACTGCACATGTTTGAAATGTATGCTTTTGAAATAATTGGAGTCATTTTAGAATACATTTCCAAACACCATCATATGTGTTACTGTTTGTAATGGGGCTACCATTTAGAAGATACATCCTATAAAATAGTAAATTCCTATGGACATTGAGGCTGGACTATGTTTTCTTTCTGAAATTAGTTGAGTTGATCAAGGGGAACATTGAAACCTCTGAAATATTAGAAACACAGAGGTCTGCTAGAGGAGCATGAATTGTTAGATTTAAACTGTTCTTTCTAAATAATAGAATTTAGGGAGCATCATATATGCCTGCAAACCAAATCCTTTAAAACATTTTTATACTTTGCCATTCATTTATTTACCCTTTTGTGTTTGATAGCACATATATAGTATTAAGAAATTTAAATATACCCAAAGTCTTATTGGTTCCAGAAAAGAACTGTATGAACACATAAGAAATTATTTTCCTGTGGTAACTGTTTCTTTCTATTTATGAATAAAAATACTATGAAGTGATTTCACTTGGGAAGTAAGAAAATATTATTCCAACTCAGTTTTCATACTGAAGAAAATAGGCTGGTGGTATTCATATATTGAAATTAGTGGGTCCATCAGAATGTCACCTCTTAGATTTTGTGAAAACAAGTATCTCACCAAAAGTCATTTCAGTGACCTGTGTAGCCTGTGTATTTTTCTACTGGTCTCTAGGGACCACTGGTCTAGAATTGAAAGAGAAATACAGAAATATACCAGGTATGTATTTGTACACCATAGTCCATAGTCTAATGCGGTCAGTCTATCTCCTTGCAATACACAGGGCAGATCTACTTGTTATGAAGATAGTACCCAGTGCTTCCCGGAGATGTTTGTTTGCACAAATGTCTATTTGCATTCATTCCCTCAGTAGTTAAATTGATCAAGTAGCTAATAGAAGAGTTCTAATTATTCATATAAATTATGCCATGTATGTGGATTTTTAAAGTAAGCCCTCAAACTTAACCCTTTGCCCTTTTTTGGTGTTCAGGCTAAAATAATGTATGTTCTAAGTACTCTTCCAGGTTGTACTGATTCTTTAAATATTTTAAATTCCCAATAAATAAAAGCCCTGAATCATTTCAGTTGTCTTAGCCACAAGCTAAACAAACAGCATCTATGTTGGTTACACAGAAGATGTCAAACCCCCATTGGAAAAAGAACAGTTGAGGGCAGGAAGGAAAAGATCTGAGACATCAGAGGGCATGTACTCCAAAGCAAGCACTGTGCCCATCAGTCAGTGCCTTAATATTAGACATAGTTCTACATGATTAAGACAAACAGTATTTTTTTAAAAAAATGCTTTGTATTTTAAAACATTGGAAAGCAGATAGGAGGAATAAAAGTGAAGGTATATAATAAACATTATGTTGGAAAGAAGGGACAACCTTATTAAGGTAGTTAAAAAGAGAATTACTCATATTTCATAAGCTGAAAACAAGAAATGTAGCTGTGTCTCAAATTGGCAGGAACTTTTAGGTACCTCTAACATGGAGGGGGAAAAATTCAAAGTAAACCAGCGATCTATTTAAATAACACAGGTTGATCTCTAATACTCTGTTTCCCCAGGAGCAATTAAGTATTTTATTTTCTTTGAAATTCTTATCACTAAAATTGCTAGCTATTAATTGTTTGACAGAATATTGATCTTGATTGGAAATTAGAGTTTGAAAGAAATATCTGAGTTGTGCAAATCCATGTAGCTCAGCCTGTGCTTGCTCACAACACATTAGCTTTCTGTCGCATCCTTGTCTTACTTGTGCCTTCTAGACCAAAATTGGGGTAAGGCAAATGTATCTCAGACTCTGTCTAAAAAGATGTAATCATGAAAACACTGGAAGACCTCATTATATGCTATAGCTCTACCTGTCAGGATGTCTGGATCATGCAACATGGGAAACATTTTAATGAGGCTTTAATTAAGTATTTTAAAAATACTGCTTGACTGATTTTAAAAATAATATTCATTATAGAAGATGCAGAAATTACAGAAAAGTATGAAGCAGCAAATAAAAATCGTACATAATTCCTAGAAATAAGGGTATATATGTACTTATGTGTGTAAAATATGTATTATCCATAAATGCACATTGCTTAACAGTATTTAAGTATATACATATATTTTTAACTTTTTAACAGTATTATTTTTGACTATTTCCCCTACTGTAAAAACTATTGGCAAGCTCGTTTTTAAAATTAATTTTTATTACTTTTATTTTTCAATTACAGTTTACCTTCAATATTATTTTGTGTTAGCTTCAGGTGTACAGCATATTAGTTAGACAATCATATACTTTACAAATGTTCCCCATTATATTTCCAGTAACCACATGGCACCTTGCATAGTTATTACAATATTATTGTCTATATTTCCTAAGCTGAACTTTATATCCCCACGACTATTCTATAACTACCAATTTTTACTTCTTAATCCCTTCACCTTTTTATCCAGTCCCCCAGTCCCCGTCCCCTCTGGTAACCATCGATCTGTTCTCTGTATGTATGAGTCTGTTTCTATTTTGTTTGTTCATTTATATTGTTCTTTAGAATCCACATGTAAGTGAAATCATATGATAATTGTCTTCCTCTGACTGACTTATTTCACTTAGCACAATATCCTCTAGGTCCATCCATGCTGTTGCAAATGGTAAGATTTCATTCTTTTTTATGGTCAAGTAATATTCCATTGTATATATGTACCAACAGGTTTTTATTCACTCATCTATTGATGGACACTTGGTTGCTTCCATACCTTGGTTATTATAAAAAACACTGCAATGAACATAGGGGTGCATATAGTTTTTCGAATTAGTATTTTGGGTTTCTTTAGATATATACTCAGAAGTAGAATTGCTGGATCATAAGGCAATTTTTTTTTAGGACCCTGCATACTATTTTTCTATAGTGGCTGCACCAATCTGTATTCCCACCAACAGTTTATGAAGCTTCCCTTTCTCCACATCTTCATCAATACTTGCTGACATTCTGACCAGTGTGCGGTGATATCTCACTGAGGCTTTAATTTGCATTTCCCTTATTAGTGACATTGAGCATCTTTTCATATGTCTGCTGCCACCTGTATGTCCTCTGTAGAAGTGTCTATTCAAGTCCTCTGCCCATTTTTTAATTAGATTGTTTCTTGGTGTTGAATCATATGAGTTCTTTATAAATTTTGGATATTAACTCCTTTTATATGTGTCAGTAGCAAATGTCTTCTCCCATTCAGCAGGTTGGCAAGCACACTTTTTAATGGCTATATAATATCCCTACCCAGACTGTTTTGAAAATAGCCTATTTGCCTAGAGGTGAGCTTTTCTGTGAATGACTTGATTATACCTGCCTGTAAAACAACACTAACAAATATTCAAAACAAACTTTTAAAACATTGTAATTGAAGAATTATTTATGTATGTAATAAGTACAATAAGCTAAACAATAAAACCCAATTAGACAGTGATTCTGGGTGGAGGAAATGAATCCTAGGAGACTATACAGAGTAAGATGACAGTGTTGAAGTTTTCCAGAGCAGACACGCACACACTTGTCCCTCACTTATGTGTTAATGGTTAGCACTTTCAGAAAACTAAAGCATGCTTTGTACATTCCCTTTATGGGTTTTTTTTCCATTAGGTTTTCTTATATATGAGCTTTGTATCAACATTATTTAGGCAAGAAACATGGGCTGAAACTAAAAGACTCACCAGCTGCATTTAAGAGTTCTGAATTTGAGTGTTCCTCTCCTTTAAAATTCAGAGCATAGCTGTAGGATTGAAATTTATGTCAGTTGTGTTGGGAAGATTCAATGTATTGAAAAAAACTCAAGGCAGAATTGAAAGTCAAATTCTATAAAACCGGTGTGTCCTTGTAAATGTACATTACACTCCGGACAGCATTCCTTTTTCTGCAGAAAGGGCCTTTAACATGTTTTATTCAGTTTGCTCCAAACTCTTCTCATTGTAGTCTTTGTGCCCGCATACAATCAATCTTTCTACTCAAAGGTCAACGTGAGGTACTATATTCCCAAGGCAGGGAGAATATGACAAAAATACAATTTGTAGAGGGAAAATACTTCATGACCCCAGATAGTTAAAGGTCTTCAGACCCCTTCTGTGAAACAGAGTAATTTCACAGTGATTTTATGCTCACAAAAATGAATTATCATTGGCATGTTTTATCAAGTCAGGGGAACAAGGCTGCAAGTTAAGATGACAACAGTTTACTGTAGAAGCTTGTTAAAGTAATGGTTGGTAAACTATGACAACAGTGAAACAAAGGCTGGGCTCAGTAGCTAACATTTATGTTTCTTTGCTCTGTTCAAAATAGGATACTCCCTTCTTTTCGTAATAAAGTACAAATGACTGTAGCAGCATCTCCTTAGCTAATTTTGAGCACTCCCAATGCCACTTTGCTGTTTTAAGGAAGATACAATTCTTGTTTGTATTCCCATTCACTAAAAATTTATTGGTTTGCTATGATTTATGAGCAGCTCAAAGTCTTTATTTATTGAACTCATCTATCAAACACCATTCTAAATACCCCCCCAAGGCTCTGGGAAGCTAAGTTTCCTAATAACAGAATAGGCAGATGTGAATGATCATTTATCACGTGGTTGGGTGGGCTTTCCAATACAGACATGTTTGTGGGGTAGTTGCAAAAGCCATTATCTTCTAATTTCTCCTTTTAGAAAATATTTTATAGTTTTTCAATCAGATGATTCCTGTAAGAGGAAAATATGTTCACCTTATTTTTGATCCCTAAGCGGGTCATCGTGATCATGTGTTTTATTTCTCTAAGGCTAGTAGGACAAATGTTGTGGGTTAGTCATAAGTAAACAGTCAATAGCCCAAATAGACCTTAACCAGCCATGACTGGGTCAAAAAGCAAAACATTCAAATCTAAAAAGAAGTGCTTTTATATTTTCATTCCTCATATTTCTCTCAGTTTGGCTGGTTGGCATACTTATCAGTGGTTAACTGCTGGTGAGCATGCACTTACTCTCCTTGCCCCATAGAAGTCACAAAGCAAATAGCAGTAACAAGAGCTGCTTGTTTTAGGAATTTCCATGCTAATGGCAAGGAATAGGGTGTGATCTTTACTAAACAGAAAAAAATGCCTTTTGAGGCATGACGAAGTTATTGCAAGCACACAGCTTACAAACCTGGAGTTTAATTGGTAGTGTTTTAGATTCTCTTGTAACTATGCTGCATTCCTTTTTCCTGACCACCACAATCATGTTTTCAAAATACCAAACCCACTCAGTCAAATTACTTAATTTTAGGTAAATAATAGATTGAAGCAGATGCATGTTGCAACTATAGTTTATATCTTTCACTGGTAATTATAATAGCTACAATTTAGTAGATCTGTTTTATGATACACATTGGACTGGGCATATTACATTAACATCTTCTTTAAATCTACAAAACAATTCTTAAAGATAGTTGTCATTATCTTTATAAGGTTAAATAACTTGCTTAAAGGCATAGAATAGCTACTAAGCATCAGAGTTGGATTCAAACAGGGGTGTGAAATATAGACCAGATATTGGGCAATAACAATACAGGGGGAAACCAGGGCACTGTAGGTGCACATAACAGAGACCCCTTATTTGATTGTCAAAGAAGGTTTCCTGGATGTAAGTGATGCTCACATAATATCTGAAGGTTGAGCATAGAGTTGGTTACTAGAGAGAGGATGTCCCAGGAAGAAGAAACAACATAGGAGAGTTGATGGAACTGAAAGTCCTTTGTGTATGGAAAGAAAGGAATATTGAGAGATGAGGTTGTGGTAGAGACCACAAAGCTTTCTTCATTTATAGTCTACTCCATCCGTTACACTCAAGATTAGGTATATTTCCTAAATCGGGACCATAGTATGACAGATAAAAGTGGTTACATGTCAAGATTTTATATATCTTGTACACCAGAAGCGGGGAAGAACCCTTTCTGGTTTGTGTATGAGAATGTAAGAGATAGCCACCTAGTGGTCTCTGTCCCATGCAATAGCTATTTATCCAGATGCCTCTCTGAAGCTCTGTTCTCACAAGACCCATGCAACCTGTCTGGGCCAAGCCTGTTACATTGTTAATTTTTGTTGTCCTAACCCAGTGATCACAGTAAGTGATAATTTCAGAGGAAATGAGTGCTCTGTATTTGCTATATTACCACAGGTTTTAGATTTTTACTGACAAACCTGAATGTATGCATAGTTCTGAGTCTGTGTCCCTCCATCGATGTTAGCCTAATGGCATTAATTCAAGTTTTAAAATTATGTTGTTTCTCTGTCCTTGAAATAATCCTGTATTTTATTTCCTATGTAAAATGTTTCCCTGTATAACAGCATGTTGAACTCTTCATATTTAGTGTTTGGGGCAGGAGAATTTAGTAGTGATGGATTAATTTCTCTTTTATGAGGCACAGTGCCACTGTAGCCTAACAGATTTGGTTGAGTTGTAATTTGCTTTGTTCATTCTACTGAGATTGGCCCTATTAACGGGTAATTATTTTCTGATTGAAGATTTCACCTGGGATAAGCTGCTTTCCTGGGCAAGAATAGAAAACCTACTCTGAATCATTAACCCAAGAATATTTGTAAACATGACAGGGTCTCTTAGCATCATTTTGGAAAGATTTCATATCCTCTTTGCACCAGTTTCTTAATAACATATTCTGTAGTGAAATGTATCGTGGCTAAATCAGTTATTTTCATTTCCTGATGATCATAAGAAAGATTTTACAAGTGTTCCTGATGGTGTTGGAAATGTAATTAAAACAAGCAATAGGACTCCATCGTATTAGTAATTTTATTAGCAGGACTTAGGGCAGTGATGGCGAACCTATGACACGCGTGTCAGAGGTGACACGCGAACTCATTTTTTTGGTTGAGTTTTCTTTGTTAAATGGCATTTAAATATATAAAATAAATATCAAAAATATAAGTCTTTGTTTTACTATAGTTGCAAAGATCAAAAAATTTCTATATGTGACACGGCACCAGAGTTAAGTGAGGTTTTTCAAAATGCTGACACGCCGAGCTCAGAAGGTTCGCCATCACTGCT